GTCGACGTGTCAGCCGAGGTGCCACGTGTCCTGGACGAAACTACTTGTTGATCTCGGCAAGGCTGAGGTTATCTCCGAAGATATCAGAATCCGAGATAAGTGAATAAGGGACAAGAGTCCTAGAATGAAAAAGGAACTCAACCTGGATACAAGAGTCCTAGAATGAGAGAAGACTTCAGTTTGTATTAAGATAAGACTCTTAGAGAGTTTATCCTAATTTTACTGGGAGTCCAAGATTAGCAGTAATCCTGAGTCCATAGAAGTTAGGCTTCTATTGGGACTAGGTTTATGTTGGCTATAAAAGAGAGGCACCCCCATGGGTCTAAGGTATGCTTTTTAGGCTCAAGCTTGTGAGTTGAATAATTGATTATCTTTGAGAGATATACTGACTTGATCGTCGGAGTGCCCCCGGGTGGACGAACCACCGCGGGATTCTTATATTTCTGTTACAGGTCAGTCAGGTGCCATCTATTCTGCCAGTGCTCTCCAACTGAATTACTGAGTTGGCAGTATGGTCGGAAAATTTCCCACACACATATATATATATATAACTTGTAAGCCATTGAAGCCTATCTTAAATAGGCATGTCATGACCATGAGGCAAAAAAACATGCATGGTCAGAAGTATATATACATATATTTTTGTGTATGTAGATATCACTTAGAGACAGCTTTTACCATTTCTCCATGTTGACATAATGTGCTGAAATTAGCACTGTTTTCAAACAGCCCACCTAACTCTTGTTAGGTTTATGATGTGTATTGTACTAATTAGAGTTAGTTTACGTTGAAGACAACTAGTACAAGTGTTGTGTGATTATGTGGCTATAAGTTGATGTATAAAAATACATGGAAAAAAAGTTGAAAATGTGAATTAAAAAATCTAGCAGGTTGCTGCCCTGTTTGCCTCCACTTTTCCTATTTTTTTCTACGTAAAATTCAAATACGTTTTTGGTGTGTTTTAGTTTTGTTTTCTTCATGCACAAAGAAAACACAACCAAAATACCCAACACTCCAAGACAAAGGGTTCTGAGATTTTTATTTTATTTTATTTCTAGTTGGTATGTAGACTTTTATTACAATATAATATTCAAGCCATTCATTAGATTATGATATTCAGACCTCTATCCCCTAAAAAATTTGAATTTTATGTGGAATCAGGCCATCCACTACATTATAATATTCTCTTACAATTAGGATTTTGTGCGGTTGTGGTTTTGGTTGGTAAAGGGTTTTTGTTTGTGTGGTCGTGGTTAATTGCAGAGAAGAGAGAAGCAAATTATACCTTTGATTCTTTGTGTGTGGCTTCACCACCAGCAAGAGACTGTAAGAAACATAGGAGACGAAACAAAAAATAGAGGAGACGAAACAGTAGCACTTTGTAAGGGAAAAAAAAAATAGTACTGAAACAGCAGCACTCTGTAAGAAATTGGTAGATTGGGTCGGTGTAGAGGAGACAAAACAAAGGAGACGGACGGTCAAGTAACAGGGAAGGAGGGGGTATGAAAAATTAGGTGGGTGTACATTTGATTGTGAAAATATTATGAATATGGGTAGATTTGGCAATAAGTGGGGGTGTCCAAAAAAATATTATTAAAATATAGAGTTTAGGGTGGGGGTCCAAAGACATGGGGGTCCAAAGAATTTTAGCAGGTGCTAATAGCAGCACTTTTTTTTTTAATTTTTAATTTTGTCAATTTAAATCCTAAATTTTTGATTTATTTTTTTTTATCTAAACCATCTACTTATTTCCATTATGTATAACTGAAGGAAAAAAATTATATTTTAATTATTAAACTCAACGAAAATGATATTTTAGACATTTTATGTACATGTATATTGAGTTTAATATCTAAAATACTATTTTTCTGTCAATTCTTTACTTAACAAAAATAGATGGTGGTTTAGATTAAAAACAAAATCAAATGATTAGGGTTTAAATTGATAAAATTAAAACTCAGAATTTATTTTGTTATAATGGTCAATCTCTGAGAGCTTTTTCGATTTTTATTTTTATTTTATTTTTTTTTAAAATTTAACCCTCAACTATGTCATATAAAACATTTTTCATATTTTTTAGATTTATTTTAATCTTAACTCTCAATTATTCACATTTTTCAAAATTTGATATTTTTATTTTATATATCTATAATATTATATATATGTTAACTTGGCATGGATGTGACGAAAATTCGATTTTTGAAAATACCCTATCTATGTGTTAACTTGGCATGGATGCCACAAAAATTTGATTTTTGAAAATACCCTCAAAATTAATTTTGTAACTACTAACTTGCAACCTCTCTATAATCTTCTATATTATATATGTGAAGGCATAACTTGGCATGGATGTCACAGAAATTCAGTTTCTGAAAATACCCTCAAGAGCAATTTTGTAACTGCTAACTTGCAGCCTCTCATCTATCTATCTATCTATCTATCTGTCTATCTATACTATATATAAAGCAAAAGCTTAAGTTGGTGCTGATGCAAAATTTTAATTTTCAAAAATGTTCTTGTACCTTATAAAAAATACAAAATTATACTCGAAACCAAGACATTTGATTTGGTAAATAAAACCCTTACCACTTGAGTTGCACACAATATATGTACTTTTACATCAAAATCAAAATTTATAAATTTCAAATTTAACAACACATTTATCAAGTGAGCAGACACCACTAATATATATTAATAATTGGACTAATCTGGGCCAAGATAGGCTCAAGAATTATTCTTTAAGTTGAGATGATTTAATAAATTGACTTAAAAAATAGTCCAATCCAATCATATTAATTCAAATATCAAATTCAAACTTCAAATCTTGTTTTTCTGAGTGAGGAGATTATTAGTACGGTGAGATTGAATAAGTAGAATACTAGTATGATAGTATTAGAGCGTCTCTAATGCTATTAGGTAATGTGTATATATATATATTATTTTGCCTAACCACCATTTCATATTTTCACTCTAACTTTGCTTTTTTATTTTAGCTATCATCTGAATACTTCACTTATGGAATGTCATATTAGCAATAAAGATGAAAAGAAAGGATCACAAGAGTCAAAATTTTTTTACATAACCTTTAAAGGATCACTACATTTAACTAGTGAATATGAATTATGACAAAATGATTAATCATATACCTAGTGTATTAAAATTGGGAAAAAAATAATAATAATTGTACTAAGTGTTTTAACTAATACGCATTATATGCTTATTGGGTTAGAAGTGCTTTTAGGTTGGAGATATAAGACAAATTGTATTTATTTATGCATTATATAATAATATTAATTGGTTGAGATTTTTATGAAATTACATAAAAGTCTTCTTCTATATAGAATATAACTTTGTTATTTTGTAATCCTTTTATCTTCAATCCCTTAAATATCAACATGATTAGATATCAATAACTCAAGCATTAGAAAGGTTTCATAGTCCTATAAATTCTTAATTCTTAGCAAATTTTTAAAATAGACATAATTTTTATAGATACGGCTCACTATTAAGTGAGTCGGGATAAGTTCCTCTCCACGTTTTATCTTTTCATACATCTTCATACTTTTTTTATAGATTTTAATTCGGACTTGTACTGATAATTTAAACCGCCTATCTCATAAGTCTTATAATGAAAGTTATATATGAAAAAAATTAGTTTCATTGAATAATTATAAATATGAGAATAAATCGTATTTTGTTTTCATAAAATAGATAGTTCAAATTTAATTACATTTACCATTCATTTTATAAAATAAAATGCTATTTATTTTTATATTTATAATTTTTTGATAAAATATAATTTTTTGCATGAATGACTTTTATTTTGGGACCTACAAGATAAACGATTTGGGTTATCAATGTAAATTCGGATTAAAACCTATAAGATAAGTATAGAGAAATATGGAGGGGTGATTATTCCTAAGAGGGTGCGCGGTGCGATTTAGACAGTTTGAGAGTAAAATTATAAACTGAATGACGGTTAACGGATTGAATAATATTCCAACCAATTATCAAATATTTGCATAATATATAATACAAATTTACATAATATTTTTCATATATATAACACAAATTAATTTTACATAATATTTTATATATATAACTATTAATTTATAATAAATTTCACATATTAAATCTTTCTCACACTCATTATTACTTTGATTTTTAATTATAGATTAAAAAATATATATGTATTAACTATAACAGAATAATTTCAAAGGCATATTATAAATTTAAAAATTAACAAATACAAATTAATACAATTTTAACTAATTAAGCGATATTTGACATAATCCTAATTCCAATTCAATTGAGTCTCATCTTTCGTCTCTCAAAACCAAGTAAGGTGTAAAAGTGCGGGTCGGATCAGCAGGCCCGTCCCCCACCCTAAACGAAACGTTGCGTTTTATTACCCACCAATCAATCACCCATAAAAAAGAACTGGTCGGCCTTCCCGTCTTATCTTCATATCTGAACACATACTCTCTGTCTCTCTCTCTCATGGCGTCGCTGCTGTTAGTCGGAGTCGGAGCTCTTCCAATGGCCTCCTCCAAAGCTCTCACTCTCTCCCCCACGCTTTCGTTCTCTCGATCCCAATCTCTCTCTTCTCTCTCTCTCCCAACTTCTTCCTTCTCACTCTCAACCTCTCCATCACTCCCATTAAGTATGAACATTCACTCTTATCTTACCCCATAAATTTATATATATTCTTGTATTCTTGCTTCAATCTGAATTTTGTTTTGTTGTTGTCTCAGTTTACTGTGGCAGAGGCGACAAGAAGACCGCCAGAGGGAAGCGATTCAACCACTCCTTCGGAAATGTGAGTGCTTCGTAGCTCTATTCTAGGTTCTGTTTGTTTGATGGAATTTTGGGGTTTTTTTTCATTTGAATTGTGTTGTTGATGCTCTTTATGTGTATGTATATAGGCAAGGCCTCGGAACAAGAAGAAGGGGAGAGGACCTCCGAGGGTTCCGGTTCCTCCAGCACCACCCAAGAAGGACCGTTTCGACGACACCGAGAAGATCAAAATCGATATCGATGAGTCCCTCTTTTCTAGTTGAAGCAATTATTGCTGAATTTGTTTGTGATTTCTGTAATTTCTCATCTTTTATGCATATCTTTTGCTGTCACAATGTTTTTAACTTTTGGTAATTGTTAATTTGCACTCTATCTTAATTTGCTTGTGATGCCTTTTCTCTTCAGCTGTTGATTTTTTGTTGGGTTGACCATTGTGATTATTACTGCAGATTATTCTAATTTTTAACTTTTTAGGTTTTAGTTCATTAGTTCTTCAATTCAATTTCAAGTTCAACAGCAGAAATCCAGAGGTTTCATTTCAGAGTTGTAATTTTTTGTACCTATTTCAATTGTTTCATACTGGAACTGAGCTCATTTATGTGCAGCAATGTTGCAAAATTGAATAGGGTTATGGATGTAAATTTTTACGAAAACTGTATTTTAATTGTTTGAAAACTTGAAAGTGCTACAAATGGAGATGGAGTTTTCTTGGCATCAAGTGATTGTCATAAGTTTTTCAGGGCTCTTTGCAGAGTCAAAGGTTTTCTTTATTTATATGCCACATTATTTGTAGGTGTAGATGGTGAGCTAGGAAGCACGGATACGAATATGAGATACGGATACAATATGATACTATACGATACAGATACGGTGATGCGCCAAAATTTTAAAAAATAGGATACAAGTATGGTTGGGATATGTTCGTAAAAAAATATTTAAAAAAAAATTATTAGTAGTGAGTTACACATAAACTCAAGAATGTTGAGAAATCACAATTTTATAATGCTAAACATTAATCTTTAAAAATTAGGTATTAATTTAAGACAGTAACTTGTTTACTTTTTAAATTTTCAATAGGTCTTACAAGTAATTCATTTCAATATCAAGTTTAATATGTTTATATTATAATAATAGAACAATCCACAACTTATCCATGTGTTTTTCCCTTTGGCACTACTAAAAATGTTATATTTAAGTTTACTTGATTATTTATTTATTAATATTTAATTTTATTATTATTATATTCTCTTGTTAATCTTTACTTTTTATATAGTAATAGGCGACATGGATAAAATTGTTATTTTTGAGATGAGAAAAGTTAAGTATGAGTGGTTTCTCATATCATTTTATATTAAATCATAACCATAAGTTAAGGCCTAAATAAAGGTCCATTACAACAAATAAAGATACTGAATAAGAATAAAATAGGAAATGTCCTAACACATTCTAATACTCCCCCTCAAGCTGGTGCGAAGATATCTCTCATGCCCAGCTTGTTGAGAATGTCATGGAATGGTTTAGTCCCTAATCCTTTGGTAAGCACATCAGCCAGTTGATCCCCAGACTACACGAATGGCGTACATATAATGCCATTAGTAAGCTTTTCCTTGATAAAATGCCGATCAATCTCCACATGCTTGGTCCGATCATGCTGAACCGCGGATTGTAGGCTATATTAATGGTGGCCTTATTGTCACAGTATAGCCTCATAGAATCTGTCTGATGAATCCCCAAATCCCTCAATAATAATCTAATCCATAAAAGCTCACACATCTTGAGCCATAGCTCTGAATTCGACATCTGCACTAGACCGCGCAACAACATTTTGTTTCTTGTTTCTCCAAGTAATTAGATTTCCTCCAACGAATGTACAATAGCCAGAGGTGGATCTTGTATCAGTTACTGAGCCTGCCCAATCAGCATCTGTATATACCTTCACATTGAGATGACCATGCTTTGGGAAATGGATCAGCATCTGTATATACCTTCACATTGAGATGACCATGCTTTGAGAAATAGAGACCATTTCCCGGAGAAGATTTCAAGTACCCCAGAATCCGCATAACCGCCTCTAAGTGAGTTGCACGTGGAGCATGCATAAACTGACTAACCATACTCACTGCAATAGCAATATCAGGACGCGAATGAGATAAGTAAATAAGCCTACCCACTAGTCTCTGGTATCTCCCCCAGTCTACAGGCTAGCTTTCTTGATCCTCACTAAGCTTTAGTCTGGACTCTAGTGGTGTATCACAAGCTTTACTTCCAAGCATTCCCGTTTCTTTTAGCAAATCAAGCACATACTTTCGTTGACATATGAAGATACCATCTTTGGACCGAGCAACCTCAATGCCTAGAAAGTACTTCAAGCTGCCCAAGTCTTTGATTTCAAACTCATTAGCCAAATACTCCTTTAACCGAGGAACCTCCTCAACATCATCCCTTGTGAGAACAGTATCATCCACACAGACAATGAGAGCTGTCGTTTTATCATGCGAGGAGTGTTTTACGAACAAAGTATGATCAGCTTGACTCTGTTTGAAACCATATCTCAGCATGGCCTGAGTAAACCTCTCAAACCAAGCCCTAGGAGATTTCTGAAGGCCATAAAGTGGCTTGCGTAATCGGCACACCTTTCCTGTGGTTTTAACATTCTTAAAGCCTAGGGGAATGTCCATGTATACTTCTTCTGCTAGATCTCCATGGAGGAAAGCATTTTTAACATCAAATTGATGGAGAGGCCAGTCAAGATTAGAGTCAAGGGAGAGGACTCTGACAAAATTCATCTTAGCAACATGTGCATATGTCTCCTGATAGTCTACTCCATAAGTCTGAGTAAAGCCCTTGGCCACCAATCTAGCCTTGTAACGTTCGATTGAACCATCGGCTTTGTGCTTTATAGTGTACACCCACTTGCAACTAACAGGTCATTTACCCTTAGGTAATGCAGCCAATTCCCAAGTGCCATTTTTAGCAAGAGCCCTCATCTTCTCAATCATGGCATGCTTCCACTCAGGAGTAGAAAGAGCATCCTGAAAATTAGAAGGAAGACTCACAAAAGAAACTTTAGACATAAAAACTTTATAGGAAGAAGAGAGATTAGTGTAGAAGACAAAATGAGAAATAGGATGTTGAGTACAAGACCTAACCCCCTTCCTTTTAGCAATGGGAACATCTAGATCAGAAAGAATTGAGTTACCTGGAGGTTCATCAGAAGGAGAGGATTCTGGACACTCATCAAAAGAAGAAGATAGCAGTGGAGAATCCGAATTGGTCTCTTGTACCCAAGTAACTTTATGTCTACCCTTGTCTTTGACATACACTTTGCCGTCTTTCACTACAAATTGAGAGTCAACATTCTCAATAGTTGGGTCACTAGTAATAATAGTCTCAACAGTCTCAATGGCTAATGGTAGTGATACAGGAGTCTCAATAGCTGATGGTGATGGTAGTGATACAGGAGTCTCTTCACACCAAGGCTCCGCCTGAAGATATGACTGGGACACCGGGAGGATGGGAAGTAGGACTGAGATTCAAAAAAAGACACATCCATAGAGACAAACCATTTTCGAGAGGGGGGATGATAACACTTATAGCCCTTTTGGGTGGCGGAATAACCTAGGAAGACACACCGAAGAGACCGAGGATCCAACTTACTACGAGTAGGAGAATGGTTATGAACAAAACACACACACCCAAAGGTTTTAGGAGGAATGGAGAAGGTAGCAGGAGATTGGAATCCGAACAGAAACTAAAGAGGAGTTTGTTTGTGAAGAACCTGGGTAGGAAGATGATTGATGAGGAAGGCGGTAGTGAGAACTGCTTCCCCCCAATAGGATCGAGAAACCTGCATTTCAAAGGACAAACAACGCGCAATTTCAAGAAGATACCGGTTTTTACGCTTGGCAACACCATTCTGTTGAGGGATATTGGAACAAAAAGTTTGATAAATAATACCATGAGTAGCAAAATAGCTTGCAATGCCAGAGTCAATGTATTCCCCCCCATTATCAGAACGCAGAATTTTGATAACGGCCCCAAACTGAGTGCAAATCATTTTATGAAAATTTTGAAACATAGAAAACACCTCACATTTGTTCTTCATAAGATATACCCAAGTGGTCCTAGAACAATCATCAATAAATGTGACAAACCATCTTTGACTCTTTAAAGACACAAAACGAGAGGGACCCCATACATCAGAATGAATCAAAGAAAAAGGAACTAAACTTTTATTAATAGAAGGAGCAAAAGAAGTTATGTGTTGTTTACCAAGTTGACACGACACACAATGAAACTCAGAAACATTAATTTTCAAAAAAATAGAGGGAAAAAGATGCTTAAGTAACAAAAAAGATGAATGCTCAAGATGGCGGTGCCATAACCAGATGTCTTCCTTGGTAGATGGAAACTGAATGGATGAATGAGCCAACTTGTTTGCTTGATCCAGGATATGGAGACCATTCTCGTGTCTACGACTGCCAATCATCTTCCTCGTGATAAGGTCTTGAAACAAACAATGATCAGGAAAAAGGTCACATTACAATTTAAGTCCCGAGTAATACGACTTAAAGACAAAAAATTAACACTAAAATTGAGAACATATAGGACAGAAGATAAAAAAAAAGAAGCAATGGCATGAATTAAACCTTTCCCAGACACAGAAGAAATGGTACCATTAGCAATTCGAACTTTATCCTGCCTTGAAGAAGGGGTATACTCGGAGAACAAATCAGAAGAACTAGACATGTGGTCAGAAGCACCAGAATCGATAATCCAAGGCAACGTTTGATGAGAGAGGAAAGCACTTGTAGAAGAAGAAGCTAAGTTACCTGAATGGGCAATGTTACCTGAAGATGAGCTAGATGCCCGACGGTCTAGCAAGTAGCGAAGAGCAACCTCCAACTCGGAAGTAGAAAACCTAGAGATATCAACAGATGGATCAACTAGAGCTGTGGACTGTGGCTCAACTGTATTAGAATGATGGGCTCGGGCATTGGCCCTCGGCTTCGAGACTGTCCTGAGCGATCCCTTCGAGAACCAAAACGGTCTCCACGACCCCTAGATGGCTGCCCATGCAACTTCCAACAAGTCGTACGTGTGTGGCGAGGGCGACAACAAAAATCGCAGAAGAGGGTATCCTTCTCAAAAGGAGGACAAGAACCACGATGCCCATCTCAAAAGGGGGGCAGAAACCAGGGTAGATCGATCAGAAGAGGCAGCCAGAAGCATAGCAGAACGACGACTCTTCTCATTCTGCACATAAGCAAACGCTTCTTGGAGAGAATGGAGCGCATCCATACCAAGCACACAACTCTGAGCAGGATCAAACTCCACATTCAAGCCTTCCAAAAACTTGAAGACCCGCACTTGTTCAACAAATTTCCGAAAACCAGCAGAATTCGTGAGACAGACAGACTTGTAGTCCTGAGATGATCAAGTCTCTTCCACCAATTGCTAAGGAAAGTAAAATACTGGAGAATAGTCATCTCACCCTGAACGGACCGGTCAATGGAGCGTCGCAACTCAAAAGTCTGTGAGAAATTGCCTTTGCAGGAATACGTAGCGGCCATAGCCTCATAAATATCTTGTGTTGTGTCTATAGACAAGTATCCCTCACCAATCTCCGGAACCATGGATTGTATCAACCAACCCATGATAAGAGAATTGGTAATCTCCCACTGATCATAACCTGTATCGGTGATACTGGGAGCCTGAACACGCCCATCAACATATCCCATCTTCCCTTTGCTCTTTAAAAATATAGTCAAATTTTGCGACCACGCTAGATAGTTCTGACCATTAAAGAGAGGTGGTGATTTTCTGGCCAGGGTGGAGGGAATTGGTCGTAGTAGTAGTCAAAACAAGACTCGTGTCCTGAGTAGTAGGCTGCGAAGTAGTAGACTCACTAGTCAATTCCGCCATAAAGACGGTGTGACGGAACCCTCACAAACAAACCGTGGGTGAATCACAAACTCGGAAGATAGAAGAATATAATAATGAATTTAAAACAAATTTAAGAGAACATTTTTTTTTTCCTTTTCTTTTTTTTTTGAGAAGATAGACAGAGAGAGATTACGAAGAAGAGTTACATATTATGAAGATAGGGAGAGAGATGAAGACAAAAGCGTTACATGCAGAGACCGAGAGAGATGTTGACGAAGATAGACCCTGGGTCTCCAAGCCAGCCGGCAAACCAGGACTGGAGAAGTAAGGCTCCGACGAACCCTAGGGTGTTGGTGAAGCCTTAGGGGTTGTGCCTAGGCCTTCGATTGGAGTTGTGGCTTTGACTGGGGCTGTCGGAGCCCTAGGTATCTGCAACTGGGGCTGTCGGAGCCCTAGGAGGAGGCACCTGGTGCTGTCGGTCTGGGGTGGTGGTGCGGTGTTGGTGTTGTGGTGGTGCGACTTGTGTTTTTTTTTTTTTAACTTTATTTTTAGAGTGGCTCTGATACCATGTTATTTTTGAGAAGAGAAAAGTTAGGGTATGTTTCTTATACCTTTTTTTATTAAATCATAAACATAAGTTCAGGCCTAAATAAAGGTCCATTACAACAAATAAAGATATTGAATAAGAATAACATAGGAACTTTACTAACACATTCTAACAAAAACAAGAAGGATTTATCAATTTGATAAATTTCAAAATGAAGTATCTAATACGTATCTGAGAGTATCCAAGGAGTATCGGTATCCGATACGGATATGATATGGATATGTCTCCCTTTTTGAAGTATTCGTACTTCATAGATGGTGAGAGGGTGAGCTAGCTAAGAAGTGCCCTTGGGGAAGATGGCAGGCACTGATGTGGCTGAGGATCACCAGAGTTGGGAGAGGATAGAGCCTAGAGCCAAGTCCAATTTCTAAGAAGCATGAACACATGACATGATACAGACACACAGACACATAATTTTTTTTAAAAATGCAGGATACACGTTAAGGACACGTGCAAAAATATAATTTTATATATTTATTATTTCATATTTTTAAGTATTTATTATGTATTTTATGTGAAATATTTAATTTTATCAAATTTATCAACTTTAGATATATTATTTTAGTAAAAAAAAAAAAATTAATTAAAAATTGTAATTTTTTGAAAAAAAGAAAAATAGTCCTCAGTATGTTCGTAACGTGCTCCCAACCTGTCCGGCTTGTGTCCATGTTCGACACGTGTCGGACAATTGTATGTGACCTTTGGATAGGTGTTTGTGCTTCATAGTGTAGAAAAAGGAGGGTGGCCATAGAAAGTTATGCCGAAGAGCAAGCTGATGAAGTTCTGTTATTTTTTGCATGGTGAGCCTCTTTATCTGTGGTAGCAAGCAAGTGGGAGCTGGCTCAATCTCCTTCGCTAGGCGAAGTGGAGGGCAATTGGGTCAACTCTACAACTCCTGGTACAAACCCAGGCTATATCATACGTGGACAAAGGGTATATATGATATGATACATCCATTCTAGGTGTGTCAGAGGACTCAGAGGTTGGTATGATATGGCCATCGAGGTATCTAGTCTTGGTCAAGGCCCTTTTCTTTCGAAGTCCAGTATGAGCGCACCTTGCCCCAATGAGAAGGAGAGCTTGGTGAGCATTGAGACAAATCCTTAAGCACCAACCTCCAATTCACATGTCCTCTTGTGGTCCTGAGCGAGTGAGGTGCCTAGTGCCTGATGATCCCAGCCTAGGTGGCGTGCGTGGCACGTCTTAGTTCTTCAAGACTGAGGGCCTTGCTCATTGGGGTTGTCGGTGAGCTAGACAACCGAGTGACCCTGATATGTGTTGTGTCTGAGTATGGATGGGCTTGGCACAAACGAGCATGGCTACAGCGCTTGCCCAATAGTAATTGGTCCACATGTCAACTTGCGGGGTTGACACGTGACAATGACACGTTGTAGGTTGGACCCATGTACCTCCAGTAGGCAATAGGAATAGTGCCATGATGCGGCCAAAATTTGTCTTCTGGTTTGTGCTTCTACAGGACTGCCAAAGCTAGTTTCTTCATGGTCAAGGTGTTTAAGTTTTGCCAACTTTGTTTATGTGTGGAGTTTGCCAACAGCATTCGTGGGTGAGGAAATATAGGAAACTAGTATGCTGTGTTTGTAATCTGACAACTGCTTGTTAAAAATCTTGTTTAGGAACCTAATGCTGTAAATTCCACTCAATAGCTCCCGGTTGTTTAATCCAAGTTAGGAGAGGCAATCAATTTAATTGTCACAAATTTGAATATGGCATAAAAAAAAATCTGGTGGAAAATCTTTTTTTTTGTTAGATATTCAATATAACTTTTAGCTGGATTGGTGAATCTGAAAATGGGATATGTTACTGGACTTTACAAGAACTACTACTCTTAACTTGGTTTGATGCCTGAAGAAAATGACAATCAATCAACTTCTTCTGAGAGCCACTGTTGGCTCTTCCAAGTATCTTCAGTCTTGTGCTCTTTGGATTTGAGATTTTTCTGAGGACTTTAATATCACATTACTAGATCAACCTTTCACCTAAAAAACAACTTCGAATTCAGTTCAGAAGGTAACATGGAGCTGGTCTTGTTTCTGCCTTCCTAACTGTTCTTGTAGAATGGCCAAATGGTTTTAAATACTCTTAAGAGGATGCTGGTAATAATTATAGGGAAAAATTCTCTTTATCCCCTTGGAGTTTTGCCACAAAGCATTTTACCTGCCATTTAAAAATATGTCAATTGATCTTGCCATGGTTTGGGACTGAAGTGCACAATTAACATTGTTAACGGAAAATGCGAATTGACTTTTACATCCTCACTGTTGTGACACACTCTTACCCCTTCACTGAAACCCACTGCTGTGTCACAATTAACCACCGCCATATTCAACCCAGATTCAATCATTTAGGCTAAACAATGCAAATACTCACATGCATATATCAATTACGAACCTTTTGTAGAGGCTTCCACACACACACACACCAACCCAAAAAAAAAAAAAAAAAAAGGCCTTGTACTGGTGGCTGCCTTGCATGAAGAGCAACAGGCCTACAAATAGGTGGTGGATGTCAGTTTTTTTTCCTATTATTTTCTTCCATTGCAGTTTCATGCTATAGACATACGTCAGCAATATTACCAATTGAATCAGGTTCCTTGCGCAACAAGGACAGTGTGGCGATGGTGGCTAGGGAGGGAACAAGAGGCAGCAACGCGGGTTGTGTCAGGAGGAAGAGGCGTCAACAGGGCTGCAGCTGGGGGCTAGGGAGGGAGGGGTTGTTGGCAGTGGCATGGGGAGGAGGGGAGGTGGTGGTGGTGTTGGCGGGATGGTGAGAGGATTAGGGTTAAGGTTTTAAAATGGGAAGATGGAGAGAGGGCAAAATTGTCTTTTTGCTTTGTAATTTGACTTCTTTTTTTCCACACCAACTCTGAAGAAAATGGGGGCTTGTGGCATTTTTTTTTGTCAATTTTGATGGAATTAGTAAATAGTAGAGAGTAAAGTGCAAAATAGATCAAAACAATGTGAGAGCAACTCCAACGGTAAGGCATTGGAGCTGCTATTGTTATAATATAGCAGGTGTGGGAATTGAGTGGTGCTCCAACGGTAAGGCATTGGTGCTGCTAAAAATAGCAGCAGCAGCTATATCTTGTGTCAAATTCGGCACAAACTTTACCTATAGCTAAAGAAGTCATTGCAAGCCCTCCGATTGTCTGGGCGGTTGTTTGGCTGGAGTTGTCCTAAAAATGTTGGTCTAGTGTTGGTTAAGGTAAAAAATAGCAACTCAACCATTGGAGTAACATTGCTATTCTCGAACTATTTTACATTGTTCATTACTAAATTATGGAATGTTAGTTATATTATAGAGCAAAAAGTTATATTACAACTAAAAAGGGTTGTCACTGTTCTATTAGCTCGAACTTCCGACCTTCCCCACACCACAACCTAAAGTGTGGACCACTGGTCTAAACCCAAATGTGGTGAGTATTATTTAAACCTCATTCTGGAGGGGAGAAACAGGTGTCACTGCAAGGAATGTACCCCAGTTCCAAGTTTCCAACTATTGGGGTGTCAACATGAATCTGTCCTTCAGTTTCATTTGTTGATGGAGATTATTAGTGATTCTAGTTGTTAATAAATATTGTTTGTTAAAATGATTCAATCTCATGTTTTAGTGTGGGAAACTTCATGCAACAAAACAATGCAATTTGGATACAGATGCCAAAAAATTAATTCACAATTAGAGAACTTGGTCAAATCCGTCTTCAAAGTTGTGCAGGATATGATTTTCTAGTAGGATTTGGGTTGTTTTTATAGCCTGTGGAGCTCTGTTTAAGTTGGTCTAAGCTCTAGGCTCACCTTTATTATGTAATTTAGATGCCTACATTAAGAGAGTTCAATGCCTCTCCTCTCATGTTCCTGTTTACATTGGGCATCTTCCAATAAGTTCTCTCAAATATAGGTTTTTCATCTTCCATTAAGTTCAGTCAATATAGGTCCTGAAAAAACTCTGTTGGACGGAATGATAGGTTTATTTAGAAAAATAGATGGGCTTCTTCCACTCCCCTCATGCTGCACATTCATGGGTGTTGGTGATTTTAAGAAGGGTCTTGTTAATAAAAATCTAAAGAGTTGTCTTTAAAAATTACAAAATGACTTAATTTATATAATTTTAATATGGATTAGGCTTCTCTTCAGTTTGAAATCGGATTGAAGCATACTGTTGAACTTGTGGGACTCACCATATATCCAATTTTAATGATTCAAATCGTTCAATGTGTAGGGTTCATCGAGTAATTTATCCCTGTAAAAAATTATTTTAATTGGATATCGATAGCTATTTGATCAGATTATATTTTGTCATAAATTATTGACAAAAATGTATACTGATCAAGTGGTTATTGATATCCGATCAACGTGATTTTTTTACGGGGAACTTACTGATAAGTCCCATGTACTAAGTTCAAAACCCAGCTAATCCCAAAACAAAATACTTGCACCAATTAGTCCAATACATTTTTAATTGTTACCAAAAAATCCTTTTTTTTTTTTTAATTTACAGACACTGTTCACATCTTACTACCGTCGGACTTCCGTCAAACGGTCGCCGGAGACTCGTCGGAATGTTCAACATCGCCGGAGACTCGTCGGAATGTTTAAAACATGTTATGAAACTATAAAATTTTACAGTTCTAAAAAATGTTATAAAACTGCAAAATTTTACAGTTTTAAACCATGATTCATTCCAGCACCAAAAAAAAAATTTGAAACTGCAAAATTTTACAGTTTTCACCGCCTGTAACTAAAACTCAAAAATTACTTGTTCTGAATTCGAAAATTTTCTCATTACAAATCTGTGTGATATCTGTACAAATCTGAGTCATTACAGATCTGTTTCAATGATATTATAGATCTATTTCATCATCAACAACAACAACCATAGATCAACAACTATATACACAAATCTATATACACAAATCTGTTCAATCTAAGTACAGATCTGAGGATGAGCGTCTTCTTGTTCTTGTTCTTGTTCTTCATCGTCTTCTTGTTCTTGTTCTTCATCGCCTTCTTGTTTGACTTTAGGACTGAGATTATGGTTAGAGGAGGAGGCGTAAAGAGGGAAGCAAAAAGCAGAGAGAGAGGGGAAAGGACTTTTGGGTGTACTCAAAAAGTTATGGGATTAAATGGTGTCCACATGTTCCACATGGGACCTATGAGTAATTTCCCATTTTTTTACAAAATTAAAGTACTCGACGAGTTCTACACATTAATGGTTCGGATCATTGAAATTGGACCCGTGGTGGGCTCACAGACACAAACAACACCATCCAATTCACTGTGGACTATAGAGAATCTGGACCCTTTCAATATATTTTTCATATATGTCAAAATAGTTTTACACATTTTCTAACAATGTTATGACAGTAGCTGGCAAGCACTTCATCGAAATATCTAAGACATCCCTATTTTGTTCCTTAGTGGACGACGTTGATCTTTCCATCGTCGTCTACATGTAAGTCTATGTTATAATGCTTTTGGAACCGACCATTACACTGAATAATACAAATTTTTTTCGTTTTTGTTTTTTGGTAAATCTTAGAAGATCAATGTGATGGTGATTATCACATCAACACTGAACGTGGTATAAATAATCAATAATAAAGAACATATGAAATGATGAATATTACTGTTTAATTATAACAATTTAGTAACTATCACATCTATATGGTGAAATTTATTATATTTGTATATTAATATATTATTAGGCTATCTCCAACGGTGTATCAAGCCTTGCATCAGATTTAAAATTTGATGAAATAGTCACTTTTTCTCATTCCAATAGTTTCACCAAATTGATATTAAAATGAGAATGGAATAAAACTTTCATCAAACTGAGAACAAGCTCGCAATTTCAGTATTTCACTGTGCTATAACGTTGGGGTGGGCCAACCGATCAACCAGTCGGATGTCTGGCCGGTTGACCCACCAGTCGACCGGTTCCCTCAATTCTGCACATTGTTTATTTTTTTGGAACAAGTTCGCATAGGTGCGAACTGGTTTATTTTGAGGAACAGGTTTAAATAGGTGTTACTGTTGCTTTTGTTAAAAATTTCCAGCTTGTGGCGGCTGTTGATCCGTCTCACAACATGCTAACTGCAGAGCAAGAAAAGGTAATTTTACTGTTTGGAAAGATTGGAAAAGACATCTTCACCATGGATTATCGATACCCACTCTCTGTTAGGATCAAAGACACCCAGAAAATTATCTCACACACACAGAGAACACAATATTTACGTGGTTCGGCCCAATGCCTACATCCACGGACAGAAATGAGAATTATCACTAAAATGGAGCAAAAATACAATTACAGAGGAGGAGATAAAACTCACTCAACTCACAGCTCTCACTCTCCAATTTCTGATGATTTCAACTCTCCCCTCAACCTCTATTTATACACCAATGAGGGAGAGCCTCATTGGTCACCACCTACCCTCTTCCACTCTCTAGTGGGGTTGGTAGAGTGGGAGAGCCACTTCCATTGGGTGGAGAAAGTGGGTTCTCCAATGGGAGCTCACATGGGATGATCCAACACTCTCCGCCTTCCAAGCTTTTGGAATCTGCTTGAGCAGCTTCGACACAAAATCAGCTTGTGAATAATGATATTATCCATATGAAACATATCTGTTCTTGAGCATGATCATAATTTTATGCCTTTTAACTGTTATCTTAATTTTGGCATTATGGGTATTTAATGTATCAAGATCAATGATTTATATGCTTTTAGCTGCATTGGTTTGTTGTGATTTGTCTTGAAATTGGTTTTTACTCAAATCATGCCAAGTATTCTTTTTCACTGTACTTGTAAATTTTGAAGGCTCTGTAATGATTCATCAAAGAAATAGTAAAAAGAATTGGGAACAGAAAGGGAGGGAAACAAAAAAAAATTTCATAGCCTTACCGGTCGACTCTTCCCTTTTGATGCACACCGTTGGAACCAGCCATATCAGATTGAGAAAATGAGCTATTTTTTATTCAAATTTGATGAAAAAAGTAATGAACCGTTAAAGATGCTCTTAAATAATGATATTATGTGTCACTAATGTCATGATATCACCGTTAGATTATATATTTTTTTACTTTTTATTTTCTGTCTTGCGAAGAGAAACGAGTGGGAAATTTCCAAAGAAATAACCCATAGTCTTTCATAGTCTTTCATAGTGGGGGGTAGTGTCCACAATAATACACCTTTATTATTATTGTTTTTAAGAAAATGATTTGGACCATTAAACAAAGACCTCTAATGCATCTCTAATTTGTCTTTTTCTTCCCTCTTTTTTGTATTTTATTTCACTGTTTTTTTTTTTAATAATTGGACAACTCATTAGAGCTGCACTGTTGCAGCGCTCATTAGAGCTGCACTGTTGCAGCTCTAATTAGAGCTCCGGAGCATGACCCTTGTTTTTATAATTCAAGTGGCCGCATTTGGTAAATTAATGGTCGTACCGTACCACTCATGTTCTAAACCTGATAACATGGTATGCTTTAGTTTTTTTTTTTTTTTTTTCTTTTAGAAAAAAAAAAAAACAAAAAAAACTAATCATGCTTTCTTGCACTACTGTAAATATATAATAAAGTTTCGTTTCAACCTTTGTCGTCACAATTTCTTTAATTTCTCAATTCATCATTGCACTAGTGTGATCGAACACAAAGCAATGTTTTAAAAAAATGGTTAAAAATTAGTTTTTTGATTT